CATACACACTGTTGCTTCATTGTTATAAAAGAGAATAATACATTTATAGATTCTGAATAATAAAGAACAATACAATGCCGAAAGGAGACAGAATAGAAATGTATTGATGGAACTTAAGTTAGAAATAACCTTTCTATCATTCTGTGTCTTCATTCGTGCTTGTCAGCAGCAAGTGAATGTTTTTGAACTGAGATTTTCTTTTCCTTACTCTCACTCTTTTGAGGGCCAAACTTCAGCCTATATTTCTGTCATGGTTTAAGTGTGTCATGCACACGAGCAAAGGACAAAAGAAATTGGTTGGCTAAAGTAAGTATCCTATCCCTTCTTGGATTTTTAGGAAGTGGGGATTGTGATGTTAATTTCTTGTACAAGTTTATACCTTAGATTGTACAGTAACCTGTTAATTCTTTTACCAACATCTTACTGTTGATTTCAAGTCATAAGTGCTTATCTCACCATCTCTTATGAAGTAAATGGGATATTTAATTTCATAGCTTTATGGCCTATGCTTGTATTAAGCCATTTAAAAAGGATTGCTGCTATATTTTAATTGGAAAACAAGCAACCTAGTCATGATTTACTATCAGAAAGTTTGTAGGAGCTGGTTGATTAAGTATGGTTGGTTGTTGAATATTTCGCAGCTTTACAAGTATAGCCTGTCCAATAACGATTGGGGATACTAGGAAATTTGTAGCTACAGCTCGGCACCCTCATGTGAAAGTAATGAGATTAGAAAGTATAGTTAATTATAAGGAACACAGAGACAATTTTTCCCACCTGAATAAGCGGAGATAAATAACATGAATAGATATTCTATTAAGTATTGATCAGAAGGTCATATGGTAACATCGACTATATGATACATGATTTAGCAATGTATATTTGTTATGAACTTACTGTGTTTGACATGCATGACTTTATGAGAATTTATTGTTTGATCACCTAGTTGCCATCCAATAGGAGAGACTGTGCATGAAGACGACTCCTGTTAAAATATGATTTATAAGCGTGCTTTCATAGCATGGCTATGCTCTCGATATCGACATCCCGATATGAGAATTTTCCTTGGCTATTACTATTATAGCATCGACTAGACGATGCACCTTTCTTGATTGGACATGTTCTGGGTCACGGTTATTTTCATAGTTTTACAGAAGTCGTTCCACGGTAACTCTGTGGTTAGTGCACAACATTTCATGCACAGTCATTTAAAATTTAATCGACAAAACATGGGGTTTTAAAAGGGGAATTAGACGAAGAATATAACATGTATATAAACGGGCATATGCGCATTCTTGATATCCTGAGTTATATATATACATGGGCCAAAGAGCCAATTCCGCAAGTATAGGAAAGTTTCATCTCCCAGAAAAAAGCTCAAGTCTGCAGTGTCAATGAAGACCGCAGGTGAAAGTTCTTGTCCGGATGTTGCTAGAGAATCTACCTGCAACATCTCTGCTCCAAATGACTCCACACTAGTTACGGAGTCGTTGATCAATAGCTCACCGGTGCTGACGAAAAGAGCTCGTCAGAGACAGCGCCAGCGCCGTGCTCGACAATTGGCTAAGGCCATGTAACAAACTGACGGGGTCCATTACTATGCGGACCTAGAGTCGAGGAGACATAAAATGACTCAGTTGCCTCAACGGCAAGATAATCATATTTCTGCACAACTTACGACGGAGGAGTGGACTCTCGTCAAAAGGGCTCGTTCAACCCTTAAGGAACGGATACAAAGGCGTAAAGCGAAGGCCGCCCGTGCTCGTGCTCTTCGTCAACAAGCCCAAGGAACCAAGAAGGAGACGGTGTCTGAAAAGCCACCGAAGAACCGTAGAGTTTGGATGCCGAAGACGCCACAAGCATCTGTTCCGGACCCATCAACTACATCAGCAGTGAAACCCTGGGTTAGCCCAGATTTGTCCAAGTTCAAGATCACCATGGCGGATCGCCTCGGTCCTTCGGCTAACGATCGAGGCAAAGCCCCAGTTGAAGAAAATCCAAAGTTCAAAGGCAAAAGATAGGTTGCTCAAATCACAATAATGATGAGCTGTACTATCAGAAGAATAACTCAAGAAAGAGGGTTATCCGAGAAAACGAGTCTCATTGCGCTTGCGAGAGACTCATTAAAGCGGTGCTGACAGAATGCGGATGCTCTAAAAATAATTCAAGAGTCTCCGTATTTCAAAGATTGTCCAATGAAGCGTCAAGACCCAAAATGAGACGTTTCAACAAAAAGAAACCAGTAATCCGACAAGATGAGTTCCCTGAGGTCACTATCAACATGACCAATAAAGGAAAGCAAAAGTCAGTTAACTACGACCCTGATTTCTCTCCGGGAGGGAGAGTTGAGCGGGGTCTTTCTCAAAGAATGTCGCGGCTACAAAGAAGAGCCAACCTACGTCGAGATTACAAGAGAATGCATGAGGGGCTCTCTTCAGATGAAGAAATGTCTGATACTTGTTCCGCCATTGCATCGGACGATACCGCGTCCAGTGTTGGGCAAGTCAGAGAATCATTTGCAATCACGCCGGATCAACTGGCTCACATCTTGCAGGAGGCGTTGGCTAAACAACGCGAAGAAATTAGAGCTGAGTTCAAATCCGAAATGGAGTTGACTATGCAGCAGATGCGAGATTTGCAGGTTCAGCAACACCAACCGGAATCGGGCCAAAAGGCGGAATCCAGTCGACGTAATGAAGATGATGAGACTATCTTTGACGATCCTCCTCCAGATAAAGATAACTCCGGAAGCGGTCCGACCAAGTCATCCACTCAACCTCCACAGATCTACTTAAAGAAAAGCGAGGAAGAGGATAAGAAGATGCATGATCTTGAGAGCAAAGTCAACGCTCTGATGACGGCTCAAGAAGTGAAGAAAACGGGCATTCCATACCCGTACCCGAGGGAATGGGACCTGATTCCTTATCCCCAGAAATTTAATTTGATTAACTTTACTCCTTTTGATGGCAGGGGTTCACCAACTCAGCACTTGATCTATTTCAAGTCGCATCTCTGCGCAATATCCGGGAATGAAGCCCTGATGGTCCGGTCATTCGTAGGAACCCTTCGTGGGCCTGCCTTCGATTGGTACCGACGTCTTAAGCCAGGGAGTATCACTAGTTGGGAGGATATGGAAGAATTATTCCTCACCAATTTCTTCGACGACGACACGGAGGTCTCAATTGGCACGTTGTTGGATGAGAAGCAGAAAGATGGAGAATCGGTCGACGTCTTTGTCAAACGATTTTGGGACAAAGCGGTGAACTGCAGAGATCCACTCACAGAGGAATTTATTCTGCAAACATGCCACAATAACTTGTCGCTGGATGTATTAGAGGTCATGGGGGTTGTGCCCTCTAAAACTTGGAAAGAGAATTTGGAGAGAGGTCTGCCACCAGCTAATAATTAAAAGCAAAACTTTAACCCTCGAGGCAGAGGAAGAGGATCCGTAGCTGCTGTGGACGCACATCAAACGTCACAACAGCCACCGTAACAACAACCCCAGCAGTCATCTTTCCAATTGGCGCCAAATCAGAATCAGCAGCCCCCGAGGCAGCCCAAGACTTCTGAGCCTAGATTTCCGAAGGAATACTCTTTCAAAGATGATGAAGTTCCGGTCATCTTCAAATACCTGTTAGAGAATAATAAGATCAAGCTTCCACCGGTCACAAACCAAGAAGAAGCAACGAAGATTAATGACCCGAAATACTGTGCATATCACAGAAGGGTCCACCATCCAACTAAGACGTGTTATGTCTTAAAAGACAAAATACAAACCTTAATTGATGTTGGTATTGTGACGCCGAAGCCAAAGGAGAAGAAAGTAGGCGCAAACGCGGTCTCAATTAGCTTCGGATCAGTTCCTTTGTCCTGGTTTCAAGCCGAACCAGTATCAAAGGTCAAAGTGCAAACCATCAACGATGACCCTCATGGACAGCGCCAGAAGGGGCTTGTATCTCACAC